GAGGACATATGGAATTTGTCAATCCCAACTTGCAGACCATAGACTTGAAAGGAGAACCACCAAGAGCCTTTGTAAAACCATCTGCCAGCTGTTGAGAGGAGGGAATGTGGCTGTGAGCAAGAAGTCCTTCTTTAAACTTGTGCCTAACCAAATGCAATCAATATCCAAATGCTTAGTTCGCTCGTGGAACACAGGGTTCTCCACAATGTAAAGAGCAGATTGGTTTTCACAGAGCAAAGGAATGGGTAAGGTGATTGGCAACTGCAAGTCTTGAGAAACATAAACCAACCATTGAAGTTCACAAGTGGTAGAACTTAATGCCCTGTACTCTATTTCTGCTGAAGACTTAGACACAGTGGTCTGTTTCTTGGTTTTCCAGGACACCATGGAAGAACCCATAAAAAATGCAAAAACCTGTCAAATATCTCCTAGTATCTGGACAAACACCCCAATCTGCATCACAGTATGCTGTAATTTTAAAATCATCTGTAAGTGGATAATATAAGGAAAGTGAAGCAGTGCCCTTCAAATATCTAAGAACATGCATTGATGTATTCCAGTGAGTAGAATAAGGATCATTTACAAACTGTAAAAGTTGTTGCACAACAAAAGAGATGTCAGGTCTGGTAAGGTTCAAGTATAGTAACCTCCCCACCAATCTTTTGTAAGAATCCACCTCAGCTAAAGGTGTCCCATCCTTACATTTCAGTACTAAGCCATGAGAAAAAGGTGTGACAACAGTTCTACTGGATCCAACTTCATGTCATGCAATAAGTCCAAAATGTACTTCCTTTGATTCAGAAAAGTTCCTTTATCTCCCATTGCAATCTCTATTCCCAAAAAGAACTTAGCAAAACCTAAATCCTTAATAGTGAACACTTCATCCAAGTTGAGCTTTTAATTTGTCTATCAACTCCAGACTTGGTCCCATTATGAGGACATCATCTACATATACCAGAAGTGCAAGGAATTTTGCACCTGTAGACTTTGTGAATAAGCAATGATCATGTTGAGACTGAGTGAAACCATAAGATAACAGCTGCCCACAAAATTCCTGATTCCACTCCTCTTGAGGCTTGCTTAAGACCATATAAGATCCTCTTAAGTTTACATACCTCACCATTTTTCTGCTTGAAGTATCACTGTGGACATTCCATATAGATTTTCTCCTTTAAATGGCCATAGAGAAAGGCATTATTGATGTCAATCTGACATAGTGGCCATCCCTTTGCAGCACTAACAGCTAAAAACAACCTAACTGTCACCTGTTTGGCCACTGGGGAAAAACAATCCACATAATTTATACCATAGGTTTGTGTATAGCCCTTTGCCACCAGCCGAGCCTTAAGCCTGTCAACAGTGCCATCAGCCTTCCTTTTCACTTTATAGACCCACTTATTTCCTATAGCTTTCTTCCCTGGTGGCAACTGCACCAATTCCCAAGTCGCATTCCTTTCAAGAGCATCAAGCTCTTGTTGCATAGCCTTAACCCACTCCACATTAGCCTTTGCTTGAGTATAAGTAGTAGGTTCTTGAATAACAGACACATTATGTAGAAAAACAAGGTATTCTGGTGTATGTTGTATGGTTTCTGTAAGAGGAATAAGAGATTTACATATGCAGAGACCCTCAGCAGGATGTCTGATGGTAGCAGATGGAAGATCTGTAGTGGTAAAACATGTTACATAATCATGAAGCCAAGTTGGTTTTGTTCTGGTTTTGGTAGGTCTAGTAGAATGAACAAGAGATGTTGGTTGGTTTGAAGTTGGAATGGGAAGAACAAGGTTATCATCTTCAGTAATTGAAACAGTTGGCATAGGAATATGTGTTTGATCATGTGGTTGTTCCTGATGTTAAGGAAAGATGTCTACTGAAATTTTAACATCCCTGCTAATAATGATTTTTCCTGTATCCATATTGTACATTTTGTAACCCTTGATCCCAGTTTCAAAACCCAGCAATACACACTTATGTGACCTTGTGGTAAATTTGGTTTTATGGGGACAAACATTTGCTGCAAAAACAAGGCACCCAAAAGGTTTGAGAAGAGAATAGTCTGGTGTATGCCCATACATCACCTCATAAGGTGTTTTCCAATTCAACACTGAGTTTGGAATTGATTCAGAATATAAGTGGCAGTTAGTAATGACTTTGGCCAAAGGAACAAGGGTAGTTTTGAGTGGAACATAAGGGATCTGGCTGTTTCTAGAAGGTGTCTATGCTTCCTCTCAACCACTCCATTTTGTTGAGGAGTATAGACACATGTTTTCTGATGAATAATGCCAAAAGAATGAAAAATTTGTTGGCATTCATGACTCACAAATTCCAAACCATTATCAGTTCTTATGATTTTAATGGTTTTCTGAAACTGAGTTTGAATAAGGGTAATGAATGAAGAAAGGGTATAAGGAACTTGAGTTTTGTGTTTAAGAAGATACAACCAAGTAGCCCTGCTGTAATCATCAACAATGGTCAAGGCATATCTCATTCCCTTGATATTGTCATCACTACTGGGTCCCCACAAATCAACATGTATCATATCAAAAACAGACAGACTTTTAATGGAAGAAGTGGAAAAAAGATCCCTATGTTGTTTGGCTCTTGCACAAAATTCACAAGATTTCAGAGCAGTAATATCAGAATCAGTAAGATTGGATTTCAAAAACTGTAAGTGCTATAAGAAGCATGTCCCAATAATATGTGTCATTTCTGAACATCATTATTACAAGGAATAGTGTTTAGAGAAAGAGCTTTTGTATCAACGAATGGCTTACAAGGCGTGTTCAAAACATAAAGGTTTCCTACCACCTTTCCTTCTGCCACCACTCCACAACCTTCAAGGTCCTGCAACAAGCAAAGATTTGGGGTAAAAGTGCATTGTATGTTTGAATCTGAGGATAATTGTGAAACTGATAACAGGTTAAATTTGAAGAATGGAATGTATAAGAAATCTTTAAGAGTAATATGATCGTTTATCTTAACTTTCCCTTTATGTGTACCTTTTTAAGGGATCCATCAGGAAGGTAAACTGAAATTGGTTTGCCCAAAGGGTTCATATCAAATAAAAGGGAATCATTGGTGCACATATGTATGCTAGCACCTGTGTCCAAAATCCAATAACCTTTCCCTATATTCTCAAACATTTCAATGCAAAGTGAAGATTAGAGTTAGCAACATTACCAGCAAAGTTTATACACTCTGACAGATTTTCCTGGTCCAATTTCTGTTTTCCTCCCATGTACTTCATCAGCTCATGTGCTAGCTAGCCATGCCAATGCCTTTTGGAAATGATGTGGCACTATCTACTTGATTAGCATATCCCTTTTCAGCTTTATCCTTGTATTCTTTGTACCAATAAGGATATCCATGAAGTTTGAAGCATTACTTCTGCTCATGCCCATTGTAGCGACAATGATCACATAACAACTGTGCTCTTTCTTACTTGGACATCTTAGGAACAAAACATCTTTCTCTGCCTGCAGGAGCTCCTTGGTGTTTTCCTCTGAATGCATTTCCTTTTCCTCTATAACCAAAATCCTTCCCTTGCTTCACTGCCATAGCAGCTGTGTCTATTGAGTCAGGATACAAGGTATGTACTGTTCTTTTCCTCTCTTCTTGTAAAACCAGTGAGTAAGCTCTGTTTATATTTGGCAGCTGTTCCATAAGCAAAATCTGACTACTCACAGAATCATATGTTTCATTTAATCCCATAAGGAACTGCATCAGCTTGTTCCGAGAGTCCATCTCAAGCAAATCCTTAGACTTAGCACAACCACACAAGGCAATGGTGCTAGGGTTGCACATTCATCCCACAACCTGTTCAATTTTGTGAAATACACAACTACAGAGGAAGATCCTTGCTTAATGTTTGCTATTTCCTTTTGTAGACTGAACAATAAAGGCGCATTCGATTCACCAAACCTCTGATTTATAATTTCCCACAATTGATAAGAAGAATCCGCATAAACAAAACCTTCTACTATTTCGGTCGACATTGAACTTAAAAGCCAGGATGTTACCATATAATCGACCTTTTTTGCAGTTTCTGAGATCTTCTTCATTATCGATCGGAGGTGCGAGCTTGCCGGTGATGAAGTCGAGCTTGTTTTTCTCTCCAAGTGCGATGAGAATAGCTCGCCGCCATGGAAGGAAATTATTCCCATTCAGCTGAATCGAAACAAGGTGCAAACCAGGATTATCGAAACTCTGCAAGTACATCGGATCATTGTGTGACATCGCAATCTCACCAACCATCTCTCTATGTGTTCGCGATGCCATGAGACCTTAGATCGAAGCTTTCATGGCTCTGATACCATGTTGAAGTTCTGAGTGTAGAGAGAGATATTTTGTGTGGGAAATTTTCAAATCTTATTTCTTACTCAATAATGTATTGCTTTTACATATTTATACTGCTAAAGTTTAAACACGTTTTTCACTACTAACTGACAACTACACTTGGCCAATATAAACCATCTCCAAACTTAACAAGAAGATAATGTAAAAGGAGGGAAAAATACAATCCAAACTTAACAAGAAGATAATGTAAAAGGAGGGAAAAATACAAGAAACATATCACATATTCAACAGTTAGGCTTAGGCCGGTCTTAACACATTAGACCGACAGTCTTTGACGTTCTACAGATATGCATACTTTCATAAGGAAATATAGTACTTCTAAAAGCAACGTAAACAGAAGTATACAACCAATCATATTGCAATTCTTCCAAATTAAAAAAAAAAATAAAAATAGAAATTAAATTATCTTGATAATACATCTCAATTGTCATTCTCACCCTTCAGTGTAGCCAAACAATACACTGAGCCTACTATCATGAACAATAACAATTATAATAATAACTATTATCACTGCTATTATTTAAAAGCATGTGATACACATAGACACAACATACATAAGCATAAGTTAACCATCATCCCCTAAATTGAAACAAGTTTCACACGTAAAATTAACAGCTTTTTGAAATGTACACGCGCTAATTGTCCTACTCGGGCCCGAACTTGAGTAGCTCCCACTGGAAGGGGCACATCATAAAGAGCACATGAGGCGAGCTCTTGAAAAGCAAAGCTGTGCACACGCAAACAGCAGCAATGGCCACCATTGACACCATTGCTGGTCGGTATAACCTAAAAGAGGACTGTGATGATGCTATCGAGCACTTTTCCTGGCTTAACAATAGTCTCTTTGCCCTGCATGACCCGCACACTTTGTCGTGCCCGGTTATTGGCATCTTTTTCTCGCACTCGAAAGCCACACCAAATTTACTCCCCTTCTCGGTTTTTTGGGTGGTGATGCTAGCTACATCGAATATGTTGACAACGACATGTCCGCTTTCTGATTTGTTGTTGACTTTCCAGTCAACGAGATTATTGTACGAGTAATGGCCACGTAGGCGCGCATAGTCGTGAGGCGTTAGTCCACTGCTGTCTCTAGTAGTTTTCCAGGCTTTAATTCCCACCTGTGAGAATATATATATATTTTTGTGATTATATTTTATATATATATTTAAGAAAAAAAGGAAAGTAAACAAAAATTAATGCTTACGTGTCCAGGATCTTCAGTCAATGCATCAACCACACTCTGGCAGCTATCCAGACAGGCTGCTATATGAAGAGGAGTCAATCCACCGGGCCCGGTGGCATCTGGCCTGAACAAATACTGTAAGGGCCCAGTTTTGTCCGTAACTCCACTCGGAAGGTAACTCAAAAGAAATTCCACCATGGACGAGCATTTCCTCCTCACCGCTCGGTGGAGAAGGCCGATCTCCAGAAGCTTCTCTATATTCGAATCCTCTCGTCCCAAATCCACTGTGCCATCAAACAGAATATTCAAGAGCTTTCTGACAACTTCACACCAGTCGTGATCAACTGAGAACTCGGCTAACCATCTGAAGCGTTCGAATGAGAATAATTTCTGGTCAATACCAACAATGCTTTGACCTGATAACCGATGCTTTAGGCGGTTTCTGTGGAGAAGCCAACCCATTTCGTGTATAAACTCCAAAGCTTGATTCCTATCTTCTAATTCTTCAGTGTCATCACAGTCAAATATAGTTTCCAGACTGCAAATTTCAGAGCAGATGGTCTTCTCGGCCACAATGAAGGGGAAGAAGCTGCTGCTCAGACCATGGTCTTCCACCTAAAAACATGTGGTGCAAGTCAGGTCAAGTCATCAAAATAGCAATATTATACTTTATATATGAGAAAAGAAAGAAAGAAAAAAAAAAAAAAGAGTAGAAATTAATTCACCTCAATAAATCCTCTTCCAACTATATCTGGTAAAACACAAGAGAAGTTAAAAGACTGCATCCCATCATGTTCCTCCAGAAAATCGGCCCCTCTTGTTGTATCGGCAAAATTTTCCTGAACCAGATAATTTCCTTCCAATGTGCATAGCAACCTAGAGGGGAGGGGAAAGACCGTAAATAATGGAGCATACTCCTTGATTTACTAAGTTTATCATGAAAAAACATGTTAAAAATAACCCCTCATTGCTGTTAAAACCAAAACAAAGAATACCTCAAGGTAGAACGAGATAAATTGAATCCTTTGACAGAAAACGTAACAGTATCGGAAACAGTAACAGCAATTGGCTTGATACTTGATATATGGCAATTTCTATGGTGTATTACGGGTAAGGGTGTGTCTAGAACAGGTTGGCCTGCCACCATTACAAAAAGAGTTGTCACCCATTTGCCATCACCAAAAGAGTTAATTGAAGATTAATCAACAAGTGAACTTGGATGAGGAGTCGAACGAAGGTATAGATGGAAAATGCGAACATACCATTATACAAAAACGTCACATGATGCTGTACTCGAGTATATATCCATCCCGATTTCCAGAATGAATCGGTGGATGAGTCGAGAAGTCGCCTCAAACTGGATGCTAAATCACAGTAAAGCTGCAACAAGGAACCACAAACGATGCTACAATTTATAAGCATAATCCAATTAGAAAAACTAATTTTTTAGTAGTTTTACAGACCTACACAATTTATCTACATGCACAAGCAGACACTATACGTAACTAGGTTTGTATTTTATGTGAGAAGCCAAACTTACCTCGTCCCAGCTGGATTTCTCCATACGTAAATATATAGTCAGTATAATGCAACCAGGGCGGATATAGCTTTCGATGTCAGTAGGACTATTGGATAGCCAATCAAGAATCTGAAATCCATTTAAACAGAAATTAACTTTTCTACAATGAGATGCTAAAAAAAATAAAAGGCAATAGGAAAATGTTTAATTACAAAGCAGGGAAATCTACCTGTTTCCGCAAGACCAGAGGAAAATCACTCGGATCTTTCCCGAACAGTTTAAAGACAATACGATCAGTCCGACTCTGCATTATAAAATTGAAATTAAGGTTAACATTGTAATGAGCAATATATTTAGTATCGAAACCTGTTATAATATAACCTACAAGGACGCAGTCCAATCAAATGCAAAGCCCGTTTTCTAGATAAACTCAATTTATACTAATACTACTTTAAAATTTCACATTCTTCCTCGAGGCCATAGAAAAATGAGTTTAGACCTGTGTCTCTCCACTGGATGTAGAAGGTGACTGGCTAAATGTGGAACCCGAATTCCTACTAATCTGAGGTGGACTTGATTGTTGAGAATCCTTATACAACCATAACGGGCCATTACAAGGCATGCTGGCTAAATTTTCTGGTGCATTGACATTTGTACCCTCTTCCATGCAGTCTTGAGAGCCATCATATGCATCATTCAAGTCAATGTTATTCAATTTTGTCCTTCCTTCTGTAGTAGTATACTCCTTAGTTGAGTTGCTTGCGTTTGTTGGTAAACATGAAGCCAACTGTGAAACGGATGCATCATTTGGAACTCCCTTTTGTTTCAGATCAGAAGCAGGTATCGACACAACTGGCCTAGTAAGATCCTGCAAAATGAGATTCAATGAGCAGATGTTTAAAATACTGAGGCGGATTTAGAAATATATTTACTGTGTTAACACCTTGTTCTGTAACCCCTGGGATACAGGGACTCCAGCAATATTACTCCCGTTAGTTGCACCAGCAAGATTTGCAAGGTTACTCAGAAGATGAGACAGCAGATCCTGATTTGTTGATTGATCGGAGCTATTGGCTGCAAGTAACAGATGTGGAAAGCTGTTGAATAAGTATCCCAAGCATGAGAATATGCAAAAGCTGAAAAATTAGAAAAACAATTGAAGCTACAAAAAGACACCACAAATAGGTGGAACAATAAGATATTCATATCCGGTTAAATACGTTTAAAAAAAAAAGAAAGAAAAAATTTCGTTCATTATACTTTGAATTTTCTCTCTTGTTTTTTTCTTTGTTATTTTTGTTTTGTTTCGTTTTTTTCTTTAAATTTAAGAAGGAGCGGTGTGTTTTTGGTAAGGATTGAGGAAGGTCCGGTGAGTAGTGGTATATTAGATATGACCGAGTAGCTAAATATGTTTGCGAAATAATTATGTAAGCCAAAAAAATAAAAAAATGTTGAGAGACAATAATAAGACTATGTTTGGTAAAACTAGATGATAAGTTTGATAAGTTAGCTGATAATTTGTAAGTGAATTTCGAGCGTATAGCTCATGGCTAAAAATCTAGCTGATATGATAAAAGTGTTGGTAAAATTAGTTGTTAAGCCAAGCAAGTAAAAATTCAATTTGAAAAGCTAACCAAAAAAAAAAAAAAAAA